AACAAAAGAAATTGAGGCCCTGTTGTGCGCGAAAATTGAATCGCATGTAGCTAAGACAATGCCGATTTACAAAATGTGTTATCACAGTTATCTGTAGTAATTGCACTTAGCATACGATTGCAACTGTAGAAATTAAACTTATGCATATGAATACGAGTGTGTTCGGTGTACAATAAGCATAAAGAGACATGTTTTTATTTACAAAAATAACCCAACAGCCAGCCTGAACAATGGATCACATTACTAAAACTGGTATAATTGATTTTATGTCACGTGTTAATGCTTTGCGGCTTCAGTCCATACAACGGTATCTGTATTCTGATTATGATCATTCTAGTTTTTGTTTTACTGATTATTTCGTTAAAATGGTTTGTATTCTAGGCTATGATAGAACAACTGTAGACAACACGTAATGTGCCTTTATTCTATTCAGATCTATTGTAACTCTGTGAACGTAAAATACATAAAAGTATATCCAACATATCAGTCATTCTCAAAGAACCTTTGTTTTTCATCCCATCAACGGCAAGCCTCAAACAGTACATTGGTGTCGGTATCACAAAAGTTGGAAACTTTGTTGGTCATAATACTCATTCTTGGTTGACAGGAGCAGACATACACGATAAGTTGAATATTTATTCACAAAAGGGTCGTTTTGTCAAAATTAAATGTTTTATCAAATTTATCAGCGAAATTTATCAGCGATCTGACCAATACATATTCGAAGTTCAATGGTCTGTGGATTTGAACTTGTTAACTAGAAAGATGTGCAATTAATAAATACGTCATTTATGTGCTCTATAATATGCATGCGTTGACAGAATACGTACTGTCTGGCGTGATACTATCAGTCTTCCTGTTGTAAAATCGCGTGTATGCGAGGTAAAGAGGGCGCCCTCGCTCGCCACAAAACTATATTTAAGTCATAATTCATATTTAAACATATGTATTGCAATTAGGAAAGTATATTGTTGCTTTCAACTGTTTTTTAATGAATATACATCAAATATTCATGTTACTAAAACAGTAGACAAATATTCTGTTGCCATGGCAGTCCTTGGTTTCATCAATGGTTGAATGTATTTAATATTAGCATGGTAACAGATCGGCACATGCCACATTTTATGATGATCGTGTTGCAGCCGGTGTTTCCCCAGGGTGCATAATAGATTATTGCGGACAGAAATGAACCACACTCATTTTCTCCTCTACAACGATTAAATTATTGTTTTATATAGTTGACGATTGCTCATTTATTTAATTTTAAATATGTACCTCCGTTTTATTATCATATTTTTATACTACATCGTGATGATAATACGATTTTGATTAATTTAAGTCGCGGGAATGGTCTGACCGACATACGTGCTTGAAAAATGCAAACCAGGAGTAAAAGGAAACAAATATGATTTGTAGTGAAATAGCCATATTACTGTGATATATCATCCCATTGTGCCGGGGACATTGTGTGCATGCTATTTACGGCATAATTATATGAACACCTATGTTGTTTTCGTCTCTGTTGCAAAACAAAATGGTTCAACGACCGGCAGTGAATGTACTATATAGTTTAACTGCGAGATTTGTGAGGGTGACGAAATTCTTTGAATCCGGGAAAGCACAAATATAGTATAAATATGGTATAATAGGGGTACAACTCCAACAAATAGCATATATCACATTCGAGATGGCAAGACGTACATTATTTAATATGGATTACTGTGCACATACATGCACTAATGGTTTCGGCGTACCTATTGTCAACTAACAATAAACAGAAACAATGAAACGACGAGAATGAATTGATTTAATCAACTCTAGCATTGTGGTTACACACAAACTGGTGGGATATAATATTTATCTTAAGTCGCTTACTACAACATATGTGACGACGCCTGGTGATCCTATTATGCATGATTTAGCGCAGTAATCTTAATAGTGACACTGTCCGTGGCTGTATTCTGTCCATAATTTACGGGTACATGGACGGTAAACTGGCTTTCAACTGTATGTAGCAAACACATGTGTCATTTTTTACGATTATCAATGCACATCCATATACATAAATTAATTAATCCTGCAAACGGGTCTCTGATTGATCGTCGTCTGAAATATAACCCTATGACTCGCGTGCATCTCTACCGAATCAGTTATTGAGTTGTAACAGATAATGGCGGCTTTAAGTAAAACCGCGTTCAACGTTTTTTTGGTGGTCATGTTCCTTGGAATTTCAGTATCGTATTTGGCATACTCCATCGTGGTTGAACCAGAGTCTTTCATGTTTAGTTACCTGGCAATGACTGCGTCGTCTGGTAAAGTTTCAGAGATTTTCAATTTGCCACATTCCGTCGCTTCTATTCTGATGCCGAAAGTAGATGTTAGCGAACTCGAGGTAAGGTGTGATAACATGTCATTTTTAACATTTACAAAGTAACTCATCTTCTAACATAAGTCAAGTGACCTTTACCTAATCGTTTAACGCTAATTTGAGGCTGAATGATGCGAATCCAAACATTCGTTGATACAATAGTTATATAGTTATATGTATTGAGTTATTTAGCCCACCATATATATGTTCGTGTGGTTAATCAAATGACGTTTTGCATACCAAATAAACCGCGTGCACAGTACTATTTTCCTCCAAATTCAAATGGCTGCAGCCTAAACATGCACCCTGTGTACACGAATATCATATCACATAGACTAAGAATTTACTTCAAAATCATTTGGGTATTTTTAATAAATAAATAATAATAAGTATATTTACCTTGTTTTCGCTTCTAAAACAAAACAAACCTTGTTCAGGTTACGGGGTTTGATTTGGGGTTATAATTTACGAAAATAACCCATCAATGGATAGTGAATAATAGAGCCCTAATATTCTGAGATCAATTTAAAAGATCAATATATTACTATATTATATATTTCTCGAGTAGTAAAATTTATAACAACAGCTCGTTGACAAAAAAATGCAGTATGTTGTATAATAAACTATATTTATGCGTGATCATTCGTATAACGTCATATCCGGTGGAGTGAACTGATAAAATAAAATAAATGCTGTACAAGTTATACCCTTTTCGATACTATCGACACTAGAGGGATTGGTTCAAACTATTAGTATTAGCAGCAGCAAATCGTAGAGTATTGCTATAATCCATTGTAACCGTGCGGGTCACAGTGGATTGAAACTAATCAAATATATATTGGAACACGTGACAACCATGCACTCAGCGTAGAATTAATTGGGAACTAGCTATTCGAGTAATAACGACCATAATGGATTTTTTAATGTTGACAATTATTTATACTTAAAATTTTTTAATAAATTTGTAATCGTTGCATTGATGATTTTTGTTCAAGGTATTATGTGGCTAGAGTTAATATTTTTCATAATCCTTTTGATCTTGTTTTAATGACAGAAATGCCGTGTTTAGGTTAGCTACATATGTCTGTGTGCTAGTAATGTACAAGGTCAACACATTTGGCGTCGTACAAACAATATGTTTTTCTGTTGTTGTTCAGAGTGCAGAAGAGTTACTGAAAGTTCGATCACGTGATCGCCATCTACTATTACAAATGGTGATATAATCTAATTTATTACGAATTAATAAATATTAGCAATAGGTCTACCACAAACGAAATAATAAAACATTAAACAACTTTGAATGTATGATGTTTGATATATATTCAAACCTGTTCAGTTTGTGTCCTTAGCGTAATTTTCTGGGACTAAAATCTTTATAAACGATCTTGTGAAAATAAGAATTCTATCAATACAATATGGTCAGTTCAGATCAAACAAACCTTACTTCAAGGAGCTATTTATATTGGAACTTACACCTACCTACCTGAAACAAATTAATTGCGTTTTAAAATTTAAGCACACTCTGTTGTTAAATACCGTTGTGTTTTCACGAGTTTCATGTGTGGTGGAGCTCCAAACTCTAAACAGTCTGAAGCCAAGTGTCAAAGAACCAGGTGTATATATGTTTATGATTTCTACACAGTCTAACAAGACCATCACCATAAGTACCAGCGAAACACAAGAACAGCTTGGGCCACAATATACGTCAATAAGGAAAGGATATTTACTTCCTATTCATCACTATGGAAGCGGTCCAAATTTTAATTTTGAACATTTCAGGACAGCCACACTATTTGCCTTGTACACTAATAGAACAATTGTGGAGAAATGGTTTCATACTCACCGGAGCCAAAATTCAGATACGATGGGTTGGAAGTTTCTGAATGAGACTTTCGATGTAAATAAACTGAGGAAGATAGTAGCTGTGGCAAGTATCGACGAATTCAAAAGTAAGTGCAATAACACCGCCAACACAGTTATTGCGTTGGCCTCGAATCGTGTCGATGTTGAAGAAATGTACCAAAAACACGTAGAATTATATGAAAAAGAATATGGCATATTTATGCAAGATTGGTCTCAGATAACTGTAACTGCGAACCCTAAAGATGTTTTCAACTCATTGAAGAACGTAGGATGTGTTGGGATATATATGCCAAGAGATTTCGACTCATTCAAATTTCCTGAACGATCGGAGCTTCTGAAGCAGATTGACATGCATCTAATTCGACCTCAGAGAGTACGAGAAATGGCTATTGCGGTGAACAAAGTCATATTTCATAACCAACCATATATGGCAGTGCACTTTCGAACGAAGACTGAGGAAGGGTATAGGACATTTATATTTCATTTTTACAATACTCATACATTGATATTATGAAAGAAAAATGTTGTAATAAGTGACATTCAATGACCTTGAATTTATGTTG